ACCGCCGTTGATAGTAATGTCGCTCATGAGAACACCCTTGTTGGATTTGACGTGTAGACTGTCGAAGCAGTCGGCATTAATAGAAGGATCTCGGCAAGCAGCGAGGCGTACCTTAAAATCAGTAGAGCTATAGTCAGGTTTGACCCAATACTCGTAGTTAGAACCGGGGATGGGAGTTATGGTATAGGGGACATCAGAGGCCGAAACACTGCAGGACCCGACCGTGGCACTGATGCGTAGCACCTGCTTATCTTCGTCGGAATCTAAACGACTACCGTACCGGTTTGATTCCCTGCAACCGTAAGCGCCCATAGGATGGCTCTCAAAAATTGCTGGGGTGGGCTGCACCGTAGTGGGAGGAGCTTGTGTAGTTGCTGGTTGCGTGGGGGCGGGGCGGCAACTTAACCAGTATTCCCATGCTGACCCGCTACCAACGTTAACAGTGATATGGCTCATTAGAACACCATTTCAGAGATGGCATCTCTCGACTCGATCCGGAATGTGTTGAAGGAACCAGCATGGAGAACAGTAGACCTGCAGCTACTTATGGCTGCTTTGAAGTTGGTCGAGCTGTAATCAGGTACCACCCAAAACTCGTCAGAACCGTGAATAGGCGTCACAGTGTAAGGGACGTCAGCAGAAACGCCGCACTCACCGTCAATTACGCTTATGTGAACAGTCTGCTGGTCATTAGCGAATACAAGGGTACCGCCAGATGTAGCGGATGCTCTGCAAGCGTAGGTGCCCACAGGGTGGGAAGCGCGAACGCTTACGATAAGGCTCAAGCAAGAGATGATAGAAGAAAGGTATCTCATATACGGAGGTTGTAACAAGTTACTACCGATGAGGGATAACTCGAAAAAGGTAGCGATTCGAAACCTAGACGCCCCCGCGGCCTCATCCGGAGACGTGAGTCACGTCATGTGACGCATGGCGAGCCGCGCCCACCTTAGGCCAGTCTTGGGTGACCGTCACGCGCGCCCAAGACTGGACGCGTCACCCGATGACGCGAAGTTCGTAGGTGGAACCACCATAACTCAACGCCATTATCTTTGTGGAGTGTTTATTAGAGGTGGTGGGGACTCAACTTGACTCAAGAGCTGCATAGAAGCCGTCACTGTTCAGGGCCCTCGCGGTCAGTACTACGGTGACCGTAGTGTGGTCATGTGGTAAATCACAGTATTCAACTACTCTCGAACGAGAAGTAACCGAGTTATCATCGCCGCAGTCTCCTGAATCAAGCTCCCAACTCAACGATGCTTCTATGATGGGCGCTTTTCAGTTTCTTGTTACTGTATTCGAAGCGATGAAGCTCCTCTCCTTTGTTCCGCTCATAGCCGCATCGACCTCCACAAACGTTTATGACAGCAAGACTATCGTATCGGTCACCTCCGCCGATGCTTTCGTCGACGTTCGGGATGTCCCAAAGCGTCTCGAAGATGCCAAGGTCGCGCTCAAGCCTGGAATGGCCGCCTTCCTGAAGACGGCAACTATCAAGACTTTGAAGTCCTCGGGCTTGCAGGTGGTTGCTACTTCCGAGGACACAGTGAGCTCCGACGATCTTTGTGCCTACTTGAAGGACGCGGCCTCCAAACTCTCCGGTCTGGACTGTGAATGCTCTCCTAATTTCGCCATCAAGGAAGAGGACACCAGTGACGATCTCGGCGTGAATGATCCGAATGCTTCCTTGCAAAAGGCATTCAAGCGGATGAACATGCAAGACGTATGGAGACTATCTGCGCCCTACGCGAGGCGAACCGTCGCCGTGGCTGTTATGGATAACGGCCTCAACTTCAGCGATCCTGAGATCGCTCCTTATCGCGGCGTCTTCCGTAAGAAGAGCGGTGGATCCATCGATGGTGGCTGGAATTTCGTGGACGACTCCTCAAACTTAACATCGGCTAATCAGCATGGTCAGGCGTGTGCCAGAAT